TTTTTATTTTTTATTTTTTGACAAAGATAATGATTAAAAAGTTAATGGTTAAAAAGTTAATATGAATTAGTTGTTAGCAACTGGAAATTCGATTTCTAAACCGGGTGAACATTCCACCCCTCAATGAGGCGCGCGGCCATTAGGTCACTTTTTGGTGGAGTTCACGACGGTGATAGAACTCAAAACTCTGACCACCTCATCCAAGCACTTAAGGTTTATGGTCGAACCATTAATATTAACAAGTTCGGTTCAAACACTTGAGTTTATGTTTCTTTATATATACGGAAGAAATAGATGTTCACTAGGTGTGGTTCCTGTTTGTATAAAGGTGGAACTAGTGACCTACTATGTTATGTTTTTTATAACTGCTTTGATGGAAGTTGAGCGTGGGAACTTCAAGTTGATCTTATGGAACCACTGGAAGTATAACTAGTATTGCAATGGATACAAGTATCTTTTGTACTCATATCACTGGTATTTTCATAATTAGTATTTAAAATTTTTTATTTTATTTAAAAAATTATTATTAAATTATTTAAATTGTAAATTTTTTATGTAATAGATTATACTTTTATTTTTTGGACTGAATTTTTAGATTGAAAGTAAACTACATGATTAGAATTTTATGTAAAAATTTTAATTTTTTTTATTGCCCTAGTCAACGCGAGGCGCCTATATCTCATGAAAATGGATTCTTGCCATCCTTATCCATGAACCGAAAATTTGACCTTTTCTAAAATATCATCCAAAACACTGGGAATTGAGATTCTTGGCTACACTAATAAATTGGTAGTTGGTAGTAGTTGATCTACTCTTCAATCACTACAGTAGCCAAAAGCATTATTAATAAAATTCTAGATGTTAAAAAATATATAATATTTACAAATGTTCTTTCATTGGTTCATGCTTAATTGATGTCAAATGCTTCTACTTTCAACGAAATTACAACTTACCTTACACGCGAATTGAATTCTTTGGATTCCAGCCCATTGCTAAGTCAAAGAAGTAGAGTGGCTTTATTTCAATTGATTATATTGGTAGATCATTAGTGCCTTGAACTTATTTTTTACTTCCGAGCAACAGATGCAGAATCAAAACAGAAATTTAATTAAGGCCTGTGCTACCTGTGCCGCCATTTTTTTAATATTTGGCCTCATAAATTCAAAGTCGAGTGGTTGACATCTTTTTGGTAGAAAATAAGTTAAAGGTGTAGAAACCCACTAAGTGATTAAGAAAAATCGAGGGCAATAATTTTCCAATAAACAATTCTACATTAATATTACTAAGAGGGAAAAGGGAAAAGGGAAAATTAGGATATCCTATCATTTAAAGGAATTTTTTACCTTGTACTTAAGGGTACAGGTTAAGTTTCATTAAATGTAGAATTTCTAATTAGTTTTGTACAAATTTTTATATTAGATTCAGTTAAAATAAAATATAAAATGTAAAATTAAAATAAATATAATATTTATACTCGAAATCTGTAAAAAAATATAATAAAATAAATTTTCTATGAATTAACAGCTTGTATTCCATGTTTCAATAAATCTTGTTTTGAAGATAAAAATATTATACGTACCAGGATTGTTTGCTTTGAATCTAATGGGGATCCAACCATTTTTAGGAACGTGAATGGTGTTTCCAAGGTGAGGGTCAACCAGGTTATACGTTGAGGGATGCTTGTCCTTATCAAAATTCCCTAAACCAAACCCACAACATAAAAACTAAATCCATGAAGATGCATTGGATGGTCGCTGCCTTTAAGCAGGTTTGTCCCTGGGAAAACAAGCTCCACTGTGGAATTGTAATCCAGTATCTTCTCTTCCGTTCCCAATTGCGGATTCTCTAGATCCATCGGTAAATAATCAGCAATGAAGTCAAAAAATAGCTGAGGAAAATCAAGAAAATGGGTCCTAAACACACCATGAATGCAATAATAGTAAGCTTGTAATATATCAAAGCTTGGACTAACGAAGCTTATGTTGTTCACAAAAATTACAAGCCATGACTCGTCTCCGGCACATGAAATTCTTTTAAATAAGCTAAACAAAATAATTTCTTTTGTTCGATTTTAGGTTACATAATATGAGATAATCTTTTCTCATACTTTTAACTCACCTTACCACTCATGTCTTATGTGATTGAAATTCAAAATTTTTTACTCATCTTGGAGAAGAAATTACCACTAACTAACTAAATAATTTTTAGTATGATTAACTAAATTCTTTTAGGCCTAAACTTTGAGGGCTCACACTGCTGTCCTCAATCTTTAAAATTGAGTAATTGGCTCCATAACCTCTATACAGTTAGGTTTTTTTTCTTTTAATATGGTAAGAAAAATGATTAGTATACTTACCAGTTCAACACACCTAACAACATCTACGGGTTCAATCATTCAAATTTTCTTTTAAAAATTTTCCTGTCTTGAATTTAAATTTGAAAATATTAGTTTCTTAATGATCGAACCAGTGGGTATTGTTAGGTGTGTTGAACCAGAAAGTGTACCAATTATTGTCCAATATAGTAATGGTCTTTAATATGACTAATTATATAGGAATCTACAAATCACCCAATCCACATTAATCAAACAAATTTTCACCTATAATTCCACTAATTCAAATAGAAAGTTATGTATGAAAAATTCAAAATTGTATGTAAAGTATGAGGATAGATTTAAAATAATATTTATCTTGTAATTAATATTTTTGTATTTAATTAGTAATAAAAAATAAGTATACTTCAAAAAGAATACCTGGGCAGGTGTTGTTTTTGCATGGTGTGTTCATTGATAGGGTATAGAACATATGCGTGTGTTGAGGGATGAATGTGTATGGTTGCAAAACCAATGACGTGTGTGGATCCACATTAGCAAGGGCCAACAACACTCATTTCCCACATCGAACATGCAGTTCCTATCTTTTACTAATTGTTGCAATGGAATTAGCATCGCCAGAAATGACACTCATGCACTTCGCTGGAGATATCACAAAATATAATCTAGTCCAGCATCTATTTTCACTTACATGGCCAGACATAGCTAGATCTATTTTGGCGATATGGCTGGGCATTTCTTGATGGTCATATCCTCTATAGTGATTTTCATTGCTATATCTTATGGCTCCCAACAATGGATAAAGAGCCTATTTTACTACATGGTTCCCATCAATGGACAACGTGGTGATCCTATTACATCTACACAACCTCCAGCGACGGACAAAGGGCTAGATTTACTATCTCATCTAGCCTCCAGCAATGGACAACAGGTTACGCATCTCCATCAAGTAGCGGCCGGCGATCCCTTAGTGGTTGCCTATGCATGGTGATGCAGCGCCCGGCAGGCGACAACAACCAAGACCACCCTCTAATGGTGCAGGTACGACAAGAAAGGCCAATGTTTGTTAGTGGTGTCACACCTTGTCATATCGGAGGCCATGGATGAGCTGGCATCCCCCTTCCATGGAGAAAACTCCATCTTTCTCTATACATATTCATTGTTATGGCAGAGTTTGGGTTAACTAGATTTACCCCTTCAGGGCTTGGCAGATTAGTGGGAGTGCTTTTCCGATTCCACATAGTTTGCGCTCTAGCCATGGGCCAAGCTAGCCACTATTGTCCATGGCTAACCCAACAATACTACATAACATAGCCGGAGGTCATGCACATTATCACTCTTTTACACAAAAGGACAAAATTACCGATCATTGGTAATCCCAACTCATAACACATATTTTCTATGTTTTACGTGTTAGCAGGTATCACTAGTCAACGAAGCTTGGCTCGGGACAACGATATCGCAATACACACCTATATCACTTGTTCCTAATTTTGGAGCAATGCTAGCCTATGCAATAGCAATATATTGACGCTTGCCATGGCCAGCAAACAAATGGGAGCAATGAACATTCATCCACATTGCCTCCTTTAATACACAAGGGCATTCCCTTCTTCGTTGTATATATTTCTTCTGCTTAAATACTTGAACATATATTCACATGTGCTTTGTTGTTGCTACAGATAAATAGAAGCCCATGAATCCAAGCTCATGGGAATTACTCAGGACAAACTATGAGAGTAGTGGCTTGGCATGCATGGATGGATGAACGTTGCTTGTCTAACAAAGCAAGGCATTCATGCCAGCGAAGCTTAGCACTAGCGATGATGCCCGACTTTGCCAGAAAGGGCTGAGGGGCGAAAACATGGAAATAGACTTAATTCCCAGAACAGTACCAGTTGATGTTAACCGAAGGTTGAAAATCTCACTAAAAAATTAACTAGAGATGTTGTCTTGGTCACCATCAGCAACTTGTAGCCATATTTAATGTAAGGGTGACTACACAAGTTCCATGGCCTTGGAAACTACTGTAAACGATTACTCTTTGCTTCTAGTATTCTCCAAAATCTCGTGCAGAGCTTGGGGAACCTACCAAATCCTGTGCATATGTTGTTTTTGCTGGTTGCACTCAAGCACTTCCCTAAATGTCAGTAGCTAAGGCCATATATGAGTTGGGATCCAACATGGGACATAGGCTGAGTTCTTGTCCCATTTCAACTTTTCATCCTTGAGATTGTCACTCCATCTATGTTTCATACAATTTAGGAATGCATCTCGCACATAGTGATTATTTGCAGGATCCCACTGGTAAAATGTCTACAAAATAAGAAATGAATAACATTAGATGTCTGAGAAATGTAAATTCTAGTTTAGTAATGAAATTATTTATTTTTATTAGAAATTGCTAAATCCATTCATTTTATTAATTTTGCTAAAACTTAATCTTACCTTGAAACAATTATAAATTTCAGCAATCTTGCTTTGGGGGACACGCTCGTATGTGAAATACGGGCCATCAAAACGTGACTTCCATAGTGAAGTGATAGCCCAAGGGATGTTTGGATCAGCAAACTGGAGCTTATCATCAGTGAGTTTAACCCATTTTCTACTCTCTCTATTTTTTGGAGGGCTTATTCCTTTTAAATTCCTACTTCGTCCTTTTTTCCCCGTCAAGGATGAAGGGCCCTTGTTCCCATGATTAGGTGCAAAATTATAATCCATTAATGGATCAATCGTTTGCTGTATATCCGAAGCTACGCTACTATTAGTAAACAGCTGTGGGTGATTAAAATTGTGTTGCTTTTGTGATCTTGAGGAGGAAGATCTCCTCCTTGCTGAACCTGCAGGATTTCCAGATATTCTGAAAAATGAATAACAAAATAGTTATTAATACATTTATATAAATAATGAGTAACAAATTTAGAACAATCATACAATGATTTTATTTTAAATAAAAAATATATAACTTGATAAAACAATATATGTAAGACAAAGAAATTTTAATACATATATTTAATAAGTAATAATACAAATGTTTCAATTAATCATCACTATCATCGCTATCATCATCATCCTCAACATTATCACTATTTCCTGAGGATTTTGAATCTTTTTCTTCTCCATAATCCTCCTTTTCTTCAGATATATTAGCATCAACCTCAACTTTTGTAAAACCCTCTGCACATAGTTGAAGTGATTGGTATGCAGTTAAATCTATAGCTAATGAAGAGCCTTGCATTATCGAGGGGTCATCATCTTGAAAAATATCATCAACCTCTCCTGCAGATGAGGTAGATGAGGTCTCAATTAGATGTCTAGATTTGATTTTACATGTTGCCAACCATCCCCGGGTAGTTCTATCCGTGGTTGCCAGATATGGAGTATAATAAACTTGTTGTGCTTGACTAGCAAGGCAAAATGGCTCCCCCGTTGAAAGTTTAAACCTTGGATTAACATCAACAATTTCATATTCAACATTGACACGTGTTCCTCGGTTCGTGTCATACCAATCACAATTAAACAATATTATAATCTCTTGATGGCCTGAGTGTCCATAATACAATAACTCGATCACCTCTTTTAAGACACCATAATAATCAGTTTCATCTGTAGAATTAATGGTGGTTCCTTTAACACAAACACCACAGTTATATGTCTTTCTATTATTAGTAAACTCTTCAGTCAAAAATCTAAAGTCGTTCACATAGAACTCATTATAAACATTAACTTCAAAAATCGGGCCAATTGCAAGGTGGATAAGTTGTTCATTGATTTCATATTGTCCACTAAACACCTATATTTGAAAAAAAAAATTAATTTAGTAATATTTAATATTTAATTAAAATTTTGAGAAAATAATATATAACAATTCATTACCATATTTTTAAACCATTGAACAAAATTATTTGTTTGCAATCTTTATAGTTGTTCATGTGACAAATTTACACTAACTTCTTCCTCAAATTTACTATAAAATAACATTTATTTATTAATTGAAACATTATGAAAATCATATAGGCTATTAGACATCGTGTAGTTTTTATTTTCCTAAGAAGTAAAACTTACATTACCCGAACATCAACCTCCTTGCAATTTAGCAAGACATATAGTTCAGCTGCATCTTTCTCCTCCAATGTTAAACATCGTATACGTGAGTGGGCACCTATTGATTCACCAGGGGAGCAAAATACGAATAACTTACCTGGGACGTTGGTTCCAATGCCACCATAGTTCCTTGGAGGCTGATTCCAACTTGTCTCAACATCATCCCCAAAATAACGAAAGCAAAAGTGGGATATCTCGTATAATATAAATGCCTCAACAATTGATGCCTCGACATGATTTTTATTCCCTATGGTACCCTTAAGTTTGCGTATGCACCTAAAAAGAAATACTGATAAGATTAATTTACAAAAAAAGTAATCAAAAGTAAGTTTTAAGATTATCAATTTCTTTGTATGTTTTACCTTTCAAATGGATACATCCAACGAAATTGAACAGGACCACCAACTCTGGCCTCATATGGAAGATGAATTGTTAGATGTTCCATAGAATCAAAGAATGCTGAGGGGAATATTATTTCTAACTTATAAATTATTTTAACAATCTTTGCCTCCCACTTCTGTATCTCAATAACTTTAATGATTGGGGAACAAAATGAACGAAAGAAGTTACTAATGTCGGTCAAAAGACCTCAAATAGCAAATGGCAATAAACCACAAAAAGCAACTAGAATTAGTCGCATGAAAACATGACAATCATGACTTTTCATCCCAAATAACTTGAACTCATTCAAGTTGACACATCTTGATATGTTGAAAGCAAACCCATCTGGAAAGCGCAACTGTTTTAGCCATGCACATAGAAGCTTTTGTTTTTCAGATGTCAGTGCATAACTAGCATTAGGTTTCACAAGCTTACCATGCGTATTATATCCCATGTGCAATTTTCTTCGATCACAATAAATGGCTAAATCCAATCTTGCTTTCCCATTGTCTTTTGTCTTATTGTCATTCATAACAGTGTGTATTATATTATCAAAGAAAATTTTCTTACATTGCATTACATCAAGATTATGTCGAATAAGATTATCATGTCAATAAGGAAGTTCCCAAAAAATGCACATTTTCACCCAATTATGGATGTTCCCAAAACCCTCAATTGTTTGGTTTTCAAAGGGTTTCCCAAACAACACATCAGGAAGGTTTTTAACTCGGTGATGCATTAAAACACTATCCAATCGAGGAGGGGGACTGCCTAATTCAACCCGACCCTTTAAGAAATTACTCTGATCAAATCTGAAAGAATGTGATTCTAGTAAAAACTGACGATGACAATAAAAAAAACATAGTTTCCGACCATTTTGAAGATAAAAAGATTGTGTCATCTCCATACAGTAAAAACATGAAAATTGGCCATGAGTGCTCTAACCAGCCACCATACCATAACTCGAAAAATTAGTTATGGTCCACATCAACATAGCCTGCATTATGAAGTTTTGTTTACAATAACTATCATATGTTTCTCCATTAGTCAACCATAACATTTTTAAGTCTTCAATTAAAGGTCGAAGGAAAACATCGATATTTTTACCTAGGCTTTTTGGACCAGCAATGACCAATGTAAGAAAAGTAAACTCTGGTTGCATGCACATTTCTGGTGGCAAATTATAAACAATTAAAAAAACTGGCCAACAAGAGTAAGAGGTTGAAGAATGAGCCCATGGGTTGAAACCATCAGTAGCAGGACCTAATCGAACATTACGAGGTTCTCTTTTAAAAGAAGGATGCATTTGATCAAAATGTCTCCATGCTTCTGATTGTGCTGGATGAATGACTTCATCCGTATCACCACAACATTTCAAATGCCATGTCATGTGCTCAGCTATTTTTCGAGACATGTATAGCCTCTGAAGGCGAGGTATTATTGGCAAGTACCAAAGAGAATTTCTCGGAATATCCTTTTGTCTATTCCTCCCTAGATTTCTTTATTTATACCTTGCTTCTCCACAAATTGGACATGTAGTCAATGTTTTCGTATGCTCCCCATAGTATAAAAAGCAGTTGTTAACACAAGCATCAATTTTTAGATAACATAACTCAAGCCCCTTCATATATTTTTTCACTTCATAAAAGTTTGAAGGAACTTTTTCTTGATCTTCAGCACTTAACAACCTTCTACATCTTTTGAGAATGGCATTAAAACCATTAATAGTTATATTATTTGCAGTCTTTGTATGCAACATATAAGAAAGCCAGCTAAGCACTGTCTCATTTCTTTAAGCACTGTCTCATTTCTTTAAGCATTACCAAGTGGAATTGTAGATGCATAAAGCAAGTCATAAAATGCATTTACTTGATTGTTTGGTTCCTCATCCAGATGTTGATTGGGGAAATTACCTTCCATTTCCCGATTATCATCATCCTCTAAACAAAATGCATCATACACCATTTCACGAAAGTCATTCCTTTCATCATGGTGTGTATCTTGGCTATGTGATGATTCTCCCAGATTAGTAGCAAACCATGGATCTATTGAATTCACAAATGTCTCACCATGTGCCCACCAAACAGAATAAGCATTTATAAAACCATACTTAGTAAGATGGTCCCATACCATTTCTTGAGTCATCAACGATAAATTAAAACATTTAGTACAAGGACATCTAAGTAAATCATTCGATTGAAGACCAAGGCTATTGTATGCAAATTGAAGGAAATATTCAACTCCACTATAGAACTCATTATATATCTCTCCTCGTGGAGTTCGACGCTTATACATCCAACTACGATCCTCCATAATCTTATTAAATCAATAAAATAAAATTAATAACATGATTAGTTTCAAAACAATTATGATATCTTTCACATATTTAATAGTTGGTTAAAATCTTAATTTATCATAGATATACATATATATATAAATATGTTAAATTTAATCATCAACAAAATTTATCATACATAAATGATTGATTTTTTATTTAATAAAAAAATTAATATTTAACTATACAATTATAATAATATAGTGAAAA